CTCCACCATTCTTTCTTTGATTTTAGCACTGATTCATGAGATTCCTGCAGCTCTCCAATGACAGGAGCAGGTTACAACTCTTCCCCAGGGTATAAATTATGGATGAAGTCACACTAGGTTCCCCTTTAGTTGAAAGTGCAGAGTACAAAGATCATTGTCTCTTAGGGAGTTGCAACTCAAATCTTTAAAATGGACCAGCACTTTAGTAGAAACTAAATATATAAATATATTTAAAAATTACCTGATAGCACTATAACCATGGTCTCAGTTCAGTTGGACTGAAAATGAAATACTAAGCTAAACCTGTTATTATAAACTTGATTATATTTAAACGTACTCTATAAGCATATTCCTAATTTTGAAAAAAAAGAATGAAATTAGATGTAGTTAAAATTAAAGCTGAGAAACATCTCTACATTATTTGAACATTTTTAACGCAGGTTGTCTGTTTCCTTGGATTGAACCCGAATATCATTCTGCATGCATACCTTTAAATCTCAAAAATATGGAACATAATTTATTTGGCAATATTTGCATCTAACACATCCAGAAGATGAACAAAATTATAGCTTCTTATAGTGGTTAAGTATTACTCTGAAGCCTGAACAATCCTCAAATCTGACTAATGTATAGCATCACTATATTTCAACGAAGATTCTGTTAGGCCTCTTAAAAAGGCTCGCTAAAAGATCAAAGACTGTACAATACTTAGCTATTTTTGTAACAGCTACTACTCAAATAGTTAAAGGGGATTACTAGAACTTACCCATTCCGAGCAGCTAAATGAAGTGGAGTGCACCCAGAAATATCCTGGTAATTGGGGTTTGCACCTTTTTTTAGCAACAGGATTAGACATTCAACTGATCCACAGCTATGGGAGAAAATTTAGAAATATCTTAACAAAAAAACAGTAGAAAAGGATTATTTTTACAAAAAAGCAGCAACATAATGACATCACATTAAATCTGTAAGTTATGACTTTCATTTCAACTTATCATTTAAAAAAAATTGAGCTAAAAATTAAGGTGATCAGCCAGGATAAAAAAGTTGTTTATTACAGAGTAACTAAAATGTTGAAACTGAAGGCAAAGCTGAACATGTTAAATAAGTTATCAAGTACTTAAATTAGGGGTTCTTTTATGTTTTAAAAAATGACTAGTCTATTGTATGGATTATGATACAAAGAGCTGTCCTGCAAAAATACTTTCAGTATTTCAAATTGCTGCTCAAACACAAAAATTGCTTCCAAGAATGGACAAATCCTACAGACTTCTCAACATACTATTAATACATTCTATGCCTCAAAGGCACCTGAGTTACTTTGATACTTAATGAAATACATGACAGAAATAAAACCTATAGTCCATCTCTAACAAAAGCTCAAGAACATTTTTAAAATTGACATTTCGGGGATATTTCAAATGTAAATAACAAACTAGAATTTCCATAAAGCCACTTCTATGGCCTCATTGAATTAGCCCTTAAGAAATTTAAATGATATCTACAGATTTGAGATGAAGGTTGGTTCATCAAAAAATTAAGTCTGGGGTATATTGGAAAGAATACATTCAAAGAATGTACTTGAAAAGACATCAACTTTCCCATGCTAGAGGCGCAAAAGGGCTCACTGACCCATATGATATGGGCATGTGATCATTTAGCATATGTGGGAAAATGTATTAATGTTTATTAGTAGATATATAGGAAAATCTTTAAATGTTAAAGATATTAACGTGATATTGAATTATATACTAAAGTTTTGGAATTTCACTGTTTATCAGAAATGGTGGTTGTACAGAGCAAGCAGCACACTGAAGGGAAGAATGACATTAACAACTTGGAACATTGATATTATTCAATTTGTCAAGGAAAGGTTATTGGAAATTTATGATTTATCTGATTTGGAAAAGACAATATTCGCTACTAATCAAAAGATGTGTGTGTGTGTGTGTGTGTTTATGAGGGCCAATTTGTTGTAGTGGTTAACACATCAAGCTAGAAACCTGGAGATGGTGAGTTCTAGTCCTGCCTTAAGAGACAAAACCAACTGAATAATTTTGTGCCAGTCACTCACTCTCAGACCTAGAAAGGAAGCAATAGCAAACCACTCTGAAATCTTGCCAATAAAACTGCAGGGACTTGTCCAGGTAATTGCCAAGACCCAACTGGAAGGCACTCACTCAAAGATACAAAAAAGCTTTATATTTTTAGCTTGCATTTTTATTTTTATTTTTTACCTTTTCTTTAAGATTGCTTGTTTTATTTAAAAAATGTTATCATTGCACAAATTAAAATATGATTTAATATATTCTAAAAATAAAAAATAACTTTCAAAAATATGGGGCATATAACGAAAAATTATTAACACATTTCACAACCTTCTGAGGACTGTCTTACTTAGCTGCAATATGAAGCAAGCTCCTCTTCACACGTCCAAATGCATAATTGACATCAAATTTTGAATTTGAAAGCAACTCTGAAACAGATCTAAGACATATTTTAGTTAGCAAGAGAGCTGTATTTTCAGCTACTTTTAATAGGGACAGATGGCTGTTGTGTATGACACATCCCTGTAAGTCAAAGAAAACAAGAACCCCACCTTACTGCTCAGTTTAAATTTGGAAACTCAGCTGAATATTAATTGCATCAATGGAATATTTTAAAACAGGATGTGCAAGTGTTCCTTTAATTGTTCCACAGCAAATTTTAAGAGGTGTTGATTAGCATGAAATATACCCATCTACATAATTACTCTCAGCCACCCTATAATTCAGACAGCCTCAACACTTTCAGAAATTGTGGCACATACCATTAGTTATTGGTATTATATATGAGGGCAATTTGGAAATAAACCTCCAAATCTGGGCTATGGGGGGGGGGGAGCGGTGATCAAAAACATCCCAACGGAACTGCTTCAAAAGTTCTTGGGTACGTCTAGCAGTGTGCGGGCATTATTGTGAACCAACACCACACCAGAAATCACATGCCCCGACGCTTGTTATGTATGGCTCATCTGAGTTTTCGCAACATTTCACAGTAGACTTCTGAACTGATGGTCGAACCACGCTCCATGAACTTCACCAGCAGTACTCCTTTGGCATCTTCACATTTGGCGAGATTTTCTATGGCACCACTTCCGCTGTGGTGTTGGTTCACAATAATGCTCGCCCGCACATCACTAGATGCACCCAAGAACTTCTGAAACAGTTCCGTTGGGATGTTTTTGATCACACACACCCATAGCCCAGATTTGGCACCAAGTGACTACTACTAAGGAATTTCAAACCTTGCAAGATGTTATGACAAGTGCCTCAATTTGAATGGCGATTATGTCAAAAAGTAATGTGACGTTGTAGTTTTCTAAGGTGCAGGGCTTTTTTTCTCATAGAACGCCCAGAACGGAGTTCCGGCACCTTTTTTGGATGGAACCTTGTAGGATAGGCAAGGTGGGTTGGTTGTATGATGTGTGTGAGTTCCGGCACCTTTTTTTTTTTAGAAAAAAAGCACCGCTAAGGTGTATAATAAAAGTTCTGTCTCTGCGAGTGTCTATCATTGATAACCAAATGGAGGTTTATTTCTGAATTGCCCTCGTATATATAGGTTATAATAGGTGTTCCAACAAGACATAACCTATGAATAGTCACAGCATAAGATCAATGTAAGGAACATACTCAGTATACTTAAGTAACTATGAATCTGAGAAATAATGAGAGGAGATAAGAGTTATCCAAAGGAGAAAAAAAAACTCCCCAAATTTCAAGTAAGATTGAGGTCATTTTCAGAATAAGCTATCATAACAGCCAGAATGAAAGTTTATGGCACAAAAAGAAAGCACACTGGAATATAGATTTTCAATAGCAAGGAAGAAAGGACAAAACAGACCTCTTAATAAAAGGAAGAATATAACAAAAAAATGAAGAGATATGTTAAGAACATCAGAAGAACCACAACAACCATAAGTTTTGAAGGAATACTCAAGAATAATCACAGAAAAGAATGGGCAACTGCAGGTTTAAAGGAAGATAGAGCACTTTTTATTAAAATCCTTTAAAATAGGATTCTAGAATGATGTGTCAATAAAGAATATACTTAGGAAGTGATTTCATTGTACAGGAAAAAGAACAGCTAGCAAGAGAAAAGCACAGACACAGCTAAAATGCCTACTGAACTGTTTAGGAATTCAGAAGAGGCAACTGATGTACTAACATCCTATGTTAATAAATACAAAACAAAACTGTGGCCTGAAAAATTTAAAAGACCAGTTAATATACCTGTACCGGAGAAACAAATGCAAGAGAATGTACAGATTATTAAACAAATAAAAAGACAAATAAAGCCATACATGGAAAGAAAAATGCCAAATGAACATGTGTGTGATGTTAACAAATGATGAACTAGACAAAAAGTGTTTGTACTTGGCAAGGCTGAAGAAGTAGAAGGGAAAAAAATAGATAAGGTAAATAGATTCAAAGGGGTTATGGGAATATCATTGGAAAAACCTACAATATGTACACTGCTGGAGATAGACTGATAGAGCAAGCAGTCACAAGGAAATGAACCCAACTTAATGGCATAATTACAAAATATTTTTCATTCCTATGTTTCACTAACAGTGCTTAAAACAGTCCTATAAATTTTCTATTTTATATAGGAAACATCATTGTAAAAAGTTTAATTTAAATTTATTCATGGGAATGATTACAACACCCAAGACAGAAATGTATTTTTTTTATAAAATTTACCCAGTTTAAAACTGACATACACATTGAAAAAATAAGAGCAATGCAGTTCTAGCTTGCTTATCAGCAACTTTGTTAGGTTATCACCTTCAGCTAACCAGTTGTGAATAATTGCTTCGTTTTTTCAAAACAATGGAATGAGAAAATACAATTTATTCAACTCTGGCATTTTCTTCAAATTTGGCTGAAGTTTTTGTTAACACTTCTGGATCACAAGGAAGAAACATTCAAAAACAATCTCTTTTGTCAACTCTATCATGATTAGGATGGAAACATTTCCTAATTTTAAAAATAAAAAATAAGCTTCAAATGAGATCAAACAAAAAACAATTTTAGACACAAATATTGCACCTTCATTATATTAAAAAAAATAGTTCTTCCTGTGATCCAATATGCAAAGCCTCAACAAGTTTTCTTACAGAGCTGCTTGTGAAGACTCACCTGTGTTGATCAGCCATAACCATTGGCATTAACGTGTAAACAGCAGTTTCACTATCTGTGTAGAAAATAAATTATAGCTGTAATACATTTTGAAGCATAAAATGACCTTGCTACTTTGACAAGATTGTAAAAGCATTGACAACAGACATTTTCCGGTTACAGTCAGTAAACATGTGTTAATCATCTATATAAATAAAAATGTAAATGTTCGTTTGTTCAAAATCTTAAATCTCCGAAAGTTCTTCACCGATTGCTTCGAAATTTTGACACAATGTTGCATTTGAATACGCGCGTGTTTTTATATAGATGTTACACCTGTGACAGGTAAAAACATGCTTTTTTTGAAAAACAGCGCCATCTGTTGCATGTATATTGTATACCCACAAGCATTGTGAAATTAAACATATTACAAACGTGCGCTTTCTCTTTTCTTTCTTTTCCATTTAACCAGACTGAGCCACAGCAACGCGTGGCTGGATACAGCTAGTTATAGTACAAAGGATATTTGTATAGTATTTGTATAGTATTTTTCAAACAAGTAGACCTTCCGTCACATTAGGTACCCAGGGAAATCTTTAAATAGCATTAATTCATTTGAAACTACTTCCCTCAGCAACTAAACAACATCCTCATCTCAAAAGACTGTATTTCTGAAGGAGCAGTAGATAAAATGATATTAACAAAAAAATAGAAGCAAATGTGCTGCAGCTATTTATCAACACAAATAACGTAAGCACGAACAATACAGCAACAATAAAATTATTCCCTGGTAAGGAGTAAGTATTTTTAAAAAGTAAATTTAAAATGAAAATTACACAGAAATAGGATGTAAATTGCAAGTTAAAATGACTAGTGAATGGAGAAAAATATAATGCTCCAACACTGGGTTTCCTGCCTGAGCAGGGGGTTGGACTAGATGACCTCCAAGGTCCCTTCCAACTTTTTATTTATTGTTGTTGTTGTTGTTGTTGTTGTTGTTGTTATTATTATTATTATTATTATTATTATTATTATTATTACTACTATTACTATTACTATAAACTATCTAGACCACACATAAACCTGTTGATGGTTCTCTGAACCAGGGAGAAAGGATGTTCAGTCACATTTTAAGGGCAGGCTAGCATGCTTGCTGCCTACCTTCAGAAATAATTTAATACTGATTTACCCCCGAGGCATTTGGGAAATGATGTAATCCCCTTTCTGCTTATGGTACTATTGTTTTTATATTTAGTGCCCATTTGTGGTTATCTGCTGTATATGTTCATTTTCTAATATGAACACTAAGAATTGCTTGGAATAAAAATACAACAAATAAATAAAATTCTGATATGGTGTTATCTGCTATATCTCAGTCCTGCCACATTAAAGATAATGACCAGCACTTTCAATTGGGCCCAGAAGCCTCCTGCTAACCAATGCAGCAACTATAACATTGGTGAAATTCTACGTGGACCTAATTGTCCTACCCATAATCTAGTCACCATATTTGTACCAGCAGCGACTTCCAAGCCCTCTGCAAAATGCATGACAGTAGTCCATGTGAGTGGTGATCAGGGCTTAAATTACCATTGCCAAGGCATCTTGGTCCAAGTGAGGGCATAAATAGAGCATGTATAAAGTACATCCTGGCCAATTTTCACCTGCTGCTTGAGCAGCAGCCAAGAGTCCAAGTCACAAACCATCTCCTTCAAAAGTTCAACCCTGCCCAAAATGCCTGGACCAAGGTTATTGAATTGCCTGGTAGTTTACTGCCAAATACCAAGGAAAAGTGGTTGAAATGTGAAGAAACATTCAGGCTTCATATCAGAAATGGTCTGAAAATGAAATCAGTAGTTAAGTAATAGCTACTTACTGTAAATGAGCAAATGAATTCCCGTGGCTTGAGGTTTTCTAAAGGAGATCTAGGTAGCCACTACCTTGGATAATTAGTAGATTCCCGTTGCAAGCAAAGCCTTACACTACAAAACCTAGAAGATCCTTTCCAATTCATCCCTTCTTTGACACAAGTGCCGAACTTCAGCACACTTTGTTCTGACTTTGCTTAGCTGAGAAGGAATTCCTGATGTATTTGATTAGTAAATGGGAAGAAAATAAGGAAAAAGCTTCAAGTCAACCACTTCCAAAAACACTTGAGTATAATAAGGCGTCTTCAGTTTTAGAAGTACTTTTCCTCCTAGATCTCCGCCCCCCCCCCACCCGCCAAAAGAATCTAAGTCTTTCCTTTTCACTCCTTCCTCCTTCCTATGATCCTCGACCTGCAAGCCGCAGCTCTTCGGACATGCACACACCCATCTCGCATCACTGTCCCCGTAGCGTGCGCTCTTACCCTCCGGCAGCTCGATGGTGCGGGCACGACGCAGGGACCTGGTGAGACGGTTCAGCTGCTCCATGGCTCTCTCCATCCTCGGAGCCAGGCCTCCTCCAACACCGTCACTGCGGCCGCTTTATGCTCGGCCTGCCACGCGGAAATCCCGGAGCCCGTCAAGCTCAGCCCATGGCCAGCGGCGCCACGAAGGCTAAACACAACCACGCTCGCCCGCTGCCGGTTCCTGGAACGCCACTGCTTCTCGTTTTCGCAATACGCATGCGCCAAATGCCTACAGCAGGAACGCCATAGAGCGAAGTCAAAATAAACGGGACCGCTCTGGAGAGGCGCATGCTCAGATAAGTACCAGGCATGAGGAAAGCTTCCGCCCTCAATTCGTCCCTACCTTTAACTTCTTGGGCGGGGCATGCTACATCATGACGTATATAGATAGGCATAGTGATCCAAGTGATGCCACAGAAACCATCATTTACCAAAGCAATCATAATTTTTCAAACTTGGCAACGTTATGTGGACTTCGACCCTCAGAATTCCTCGGCTAGCTGGCTTTATGCAAGAGTCTCTGCTAAGGTTATCAGACCCAGAGAGCAAGTAGATGGCAGCAAAAGGTTGGGAGTTTCGGTATGGTTTTGTTGTCATCTAGTGGCAGTCCAGATTTTTGCAGCCAAATTCATTGTCTAATTCAGTGTTTCTCAACCTTGACAATTTTAAGGCATGTGGACTTCAACTCCCAGAATTCCACAGCCAGCATTGCTGGCTGTGGAATTCTGGGAGTTGAAGTCCACATGCCTTAAAATTGTCAAGGTTGAGAAACACTGGTCTAATTCAAGTTCTTATGATGATTCAAGCCAGGTGACTTACAAATAGATTACATACATCAATAAATTTGATACACCTAAGCCAAAATTATGTAAATCACATCAGGTAGCATGATGAATTTAGGCAATACTGTACAAATCATTTAGGGCATTAAAAAATTAGCAACTTTTTTAACTGGATTAAAAATGTGTGAGAAAGGCAATACTACAGGCATAATGCCAGTCACATGATTCGAGCACTTGGCCTTAGGCAAGATCCTAGAGCAGTGATGGTGAACCTTTTAGAGAGCGAGTGCCCAAACTGCAACCCAAAACCCACTTATGTATCACAGGGTGCCGGTTGGGCGTGGCCCACAGGGTAGGCGTGGCTATGGTTGGCACGGCTGACTGGGTGGGCATGGCCACCTCGATGTTGCTCCTGGGGAGGGACGCCTGTGGGGGGTTGGGGGATATCCAGGGGGTCTCTGGTGGGTGGGGCGGTGGGCAGGAGGCTCATCCTGCAGGGTGAGGCGAGGGAGGGGGCAGGGCAGGGGTGCCATTGCCGCAGGGCAAGGCGAGGCAGGGGCTGGTTGCAGACAAAGGGGGGTTCCGGTGAGGAGGAGGAGGAGGAAGAGGCTTTAAGCAAGCTTAGCAACTGGAGTGGGGATCCCTCCCCAAAACAAACGTGCTTCGTGAGTAACCTCGCAGCACGACAGAAGAGACCAAACACTAGTATAAGGGAGATGCCTAACATTTGATCACTGTTTTTTATGTCAACCATTTCACTGTTGTAGAACAAGAGAGTGTTGGAGTTATCTTATTTCCAAGGTAGACATTGCAGTTTTTCTTTTTGAAATAATTCATTATAAGGAATAGGCTAACTGCCCTTTTTGCATGAAGCATCAGCCTAGAAGTGTTATTGTAGAAAATTGCTACTTCTCCTTTCTTGTACTCTCCTTCATGCTGCCATGTTTACTGTTTTATCCCAAAGAATTAAACAGCATGGCATTTCACACTGTGTGAGGTAATGATTAATCCTACTGTACAGTTTGCTCAAAATGATGAGGAAAATCATGTCAAGAAAGAAATAATGCTTGAACTTGTTTTACAAATAAGAAAATAAGAATTCTGCTAGGTCAGATCAAAAGAAGTTCTAGTCCATTTTGCCCCTAAAGTGGCCACAGATCAAAAGACACTCTTTTCTTCAGGTTTTCCAGCACTTGATGTTACTAGTAAAGGACACTGCTCAGTTTCACACATGGTGCTAAGCCAGGGGTTTTCAAACTTGGCAACTTTAAGACTTGTGGAAGTCCACAAGACTTGTGGAAGTCCACAAGTCCACAAGTCCACAAGACTTGTGGAAGTCCACAAGACTTGTGGAAGTCCACAAGTCTTAAAGTTGCCAAGTTTGAAGACCCTTGTGCTAAGCCATGGTTAAGCTCATACAACATGATAAGATTGCATTATCACTGGTTCTAATATTGTGGGAGAAAATGTTTGATTGTGTACCATCAAGTTGGTGTTGATTCTTAACAGCAGCATACATTTACTTTTTCTATGACCATCTGATCCTAGCTCTAGGTCCTTCAACAGTGTCTTCTCACTGTATTTGAGTCCATCCATTTTGCTGCTGGTTGTCCCTTTCTTTTCTTTTCTTTTCTTTTCTTTCCTTTCCTTCCAACTTTCCAGCATTAGAGTCTTCTTCAAAGAACTACCAAGTGGCACATTTTTGCCTCCTGGTTCATTTAACTGTTGATAGTCAGTAGTAGAAGTAGAAGCTATCCACCATTTCAATATCTACACTGTAAACATGTCCCCTTATTCCCCATTTATCTAATCCCCAAATGCAACATAATTTTTATCAAAAAGAAATTGCTCTCTATTTTTGTTAACATTTTGGCACATTTTCATGCTCTACAATATTAATATTACTTGCAAGTTAATACTAAAATATTCTCTTTCTTTTTGTTGTTTAGACTCATTTTATCTAGGAGCCAGAAAATAACCTCTTGATTTTATAACAAAGCACTTCATGAAAGGAACTCTGGTATATGTATTATGCAGGTATAACGACAAATTGGAATGTAGGATTGCAATTCTCTACACACAGTGTGTAATAGCAGGTAATTTTTCTAGGTACAGTAGAGACCTATTGCCAAGCACTCGAGGGAACAATGGAATCACTTTACAGCAGACTTTAAGATTAGTCCTAGTTAATAAAAATTAAATATTTCTCCTTTCAGCTCATTGCAATTTAATTTTAAAAATCAGTGTTTCAAATACAATGAATAAGTATCTTTTCTATAAGCCTATTTGGAATCCACTCTTTGTTAATTGAAAACCATGCTATTATTCAGCTTTCAGAAGAACAATTTACCAATAGGAAAGATTTCTCTCTTTTTTAGCACTTTATTTTTTTAAAAAATCAGAAAAGTATACACACCCCAAAACCTCCCATTTTGTTGAGCAGAAGTATTAAAAGGGTATTAACATGCATTAGAAATACATATCAGTTTGAAATAAAGAACATATTGGTAAGGGGTAAAGAGCTTGAGACCTACACTGTACAAAGTACATCCTGGCCAATTGATTGATTGATCTTTTTTTTTTTTTTCAAAAAAACGTTCCTTTGTTTCCTTGCATATGGCCGCAGATCACAAAGAAGAAACGGCACTGGGCTGGGAATCAGGTATGGAAAGAAAGGCAATTTCTGGGGGGGGAGTAAGGATTTCTTTCCTTACCTGCCCCACTTGTTCCAAGGTCACTTTCTGCTCAGACGCATTGCTCTTGCCAATGGCCCGACCGCCCACTTCAGCACCCTCCCTCCCCGAGCCTCTGGCACTCCATCTGCTGCTTTGGTGGCTCTTCTCTGTCAGAGAAGAGAACTTCGCAGCTCTGCCTACAGAGCCACCAAAGCTGTAGCTGAATGGGCAGGTGAGGGGGGAACCTGCTCCACTTGTTCCACGGCCGCTTTCGGCTGAGCCACATTGCAGCGGCATTGGGTGCAATACACGAGGCGGCAAACAGCTGTGTCACGTCAAAACCGGCCATTTGCCTCCTGCCCAATGCTGCTGCCATGAGGCCGCGGAACAAGCCGGGTGGCGGTAAGAAACCGGTATTCCAGTTCCTTACCACCGCCCAGCTTATTCCGCGGCCTCATGGCAGCGGCATTGGGTGCGATGTGCAAGGCGGCAAATGGCTGCAGCTGATGGCAAACAGCCACGTTGCGCAGGTCCACTAGGCTGCCACCCAGAACTGCAGGCCCGCCCAGCACGAAGGAGGCAAAGCAGTCAGCTAGGAAACCCCACATAGAGGTGGTAGAACACGCCCAAGACCAGCAGGCAAAAGGCCACCCCAAGCCGGATCCCCATTGGCATCATGGCCACCCAGGCCCAGCAGAGATGGGGGGAGGCACGCAATCCTAGCTGGAACTGGGGGACTATGGCGCCGATGGGGATCCGACTTTCCCCACTTGGGGTGGCCTTTGGCTTGCTGGCCATGGGCGTGCTCTACCACCTCTACTTGAGCTTGCTAGCCGGCCATTTCGCCTCCTTTGTGCTGGGTGGGCCAGGCACTCCGGGTGGCAGTGGCAGCCTAATGGACCTGCATGAGCTGCTGGCAGAGGCCCGAGGCAGGGCTAAGATGCATTGGGTGTGCGAGGGGAACAGGCTCCATGTGCGGGCCAAGGGCAAGATCTGCGAGGGGGCCAAGGAGATGACCAGCAGCGACCTGCTCTCCAACCGCAGGGCGCAGTAGGTCTGCACCACACGCCTCCCCCCTCCCCTACTCTGCCTGCTGCTGGAGGGCTGGCCCGGTATTTGCAGCGGGCTACAGAGCCCCAGAGCGTGCCGGTTGAGGGGCCAGCAGGCTGTGGCTGCTGACGGACACTGTCAGCCCCCATGCACTCGCTGACCTCTGTGTGCGGGGCCCGATGGTGTCAGACAGCAGCCGCCCCAGCCCCTGCCTCACCTTGCCTTGCCCCTCACCCCACAGGACGAGCCTCCTGCCCACTGCCCCACCCGCCAGAAACCTCCTGTATCTCTCCCAACCTGCCCAGCCCCCATAAGTGTTCCTTCTCACAAGCAACATCGAGGTGGCCATGCCCACCCCAGCCCTGCCCACCCAGTCTGCCGTGATCACCGCAGCCACGCCCACCCAATGGGCCACGCCCACCCGGCACCTGGTGATTCATAAGTGGGTTTTGGGTTACAGTTTGGGCACTCGGTCTCTAAAAGGTTCTCCATCACTGGATTAGACTTTTCCTCTTCAGCTGGATCCTCCTTCTTTATAGAACAATGAAACTCACAGGGAAGTTCTTCTCTTAGTATCAGTAGAGCCTATGTTCTTTGCTAGGTCCAATTTCATAGAAATGAGGG